ATCAATTATAATTTTTTCACTCAAAACTTGTAACTTTTTACGAATTTTTTTAAAAATCGAAACATAAAGAATGAGAGTTCAAACTGAACTCAAAAATTATGAAATTAGCTACTGCAAATTGATCACTTTTACATAGAGCTATGCATCATTTCAATATTTCTATATAATAAATATCTATATAAATTTCACTAAATTTATCATTATTAAATTTTGATTTGAAATTAAATTGTCAAACAGATTATTATTGATTTGATTTTGAAATACATTTAATCTGTTGAAAGAATATTTAAAGAACTTAAAATCAATTACATATAATTTTTGTATTAAATTATGTATCTTAATCGTAATAATAAAATATTTATAATTTTCAAAATATAAGTAATAGTTGTAAATATTTTTAATTTTTTAAACATTGTAAATATTTATAATTTCTTAATTTCTATATATCTAAATCTAAATCTTTATACATATGTAAATATTTATAATTTTTAAAACATATGTAATAATTATGTAAATATTTTTTTAGTTAATGATGACAGCGAAGAGAGTGATCGACCAAAAAGAAAGAAATCACGATCTATATGGGGAGATTCAGATAGCGAAGACAGTGATAATTCCTGGAGGCAGAGAAAGAAAAAGTGCGCGATTCGTGTTATTAAAAATAATATAAAAATAATATAAAAATTGTATTAAAAAATATTTAAAATGTTTAAAATTATTACAGAAGCAGGACGATACCAACATCCAGAGTCAGAACAATACCCAAAACCAAGGGTAAGAAGAAAAAAAAGAGAAAACGTATAATAGAATCTGATAATCAGAGTGAGAATGACGAAGAAGATGAACCAAAAATGGAAGAACAATGCGAATCTAATTTGCAAGATTTTAATACCACTATAAATGAAATGTTGAATGTTAATAAACAGGAGAATTTTGAAACTAATGTTACTCCGGACGAAAATAATGTTGAAATGAAAGATGAAAGATTACAAGAAGTAGCAACACCTTCAGAAATTCCGATTCCACAGATTCAACATCCAACAGAAATGGTACCAATTCAAAAAATTAAAAAGGTAAGAAAATTTTAATCAATTACTGTAACAAGAAATTTAATATTGAATATTTTTTCAGGACATTGTACCTAAACCGAAAAAGACTCCAGCTATTAGACGAAAGGTCTGTATTTTTATTTAATTTTTTTATTTCTTTAATTGAGAATTGACTTTTCAATAATAATAATGTCTCTAAATTTTATTTCTTACAGATTATTTATGGCGGACTGCCAGATGAAAACAGACAAGAAGAAGAAGAAATATTAGGTAGACGAACTCGAGGACGAAAGATCAATTATCGAGAAGAAATGGCATCGGATAGCGAAGAAGTAAGTGTCTTTGTTTTTAATAAAATTATCGATATCCAAATCTTGATTATTTTGCAGGAGCTGAAAAAAGCATTAATGATGAGAAAAGCTGGCGAAAGTGAAGATGAATTTGTAGTGAATGAAGCTGACGATATGAATGATGATGGAGAGAAGGATTCTGATTCCGGTAACACATTTTATATCATACAAGAATACAAAATTTATTATACACCGTTTCCATCATATGTTGTTTTTTTTTTTCTGTAAAATAAGTCAAAGGTAAATTAAACGATATATAATCAATAAGTTGAGTAAAGATTTTCTTTGAAAAAAGCTTTATATAAGAGAAGGATTTATTTTATATTTTCAACTTTAAAAAGTTTTTTAAAATTATTACTAAATTTTTAAAAATATTTATCAAATATTTTTTATATAATTTATATAATTTATGAATATATATGAATGATAATTATATATTTATAACTATTAATTGAATATTTTAGGAGATGTTTATATCCCTAAGAAGGATGCTTTGAAGTTTAAGAACAAGTCTCCGAAGACGAAGAAACCACGTAATAGTAAGAGTCCTGCCGCGAAACGTAAATCGTTATCCGATGACTTGCCGAAGCAAAGGAAGAAACCTGGCCCGAAACCGGGAAGTAAAAACAGAGGACGCAAGAAGCTAAAAGATGATATGGACGGAGACATGATTCATGCAGTCATGGACAATCCTATTGGTGATATAACATCTAAAATGGATGAGAATCTTGCAGATAATGTTGGATTGACTGCTACAACAATGTCAGTAGCAAGTTCGTTTACCGGGGATGTTCCTGAAGGATCGCTAACGGGTCTTGGTGCTGGAGAACTAGCTGACCTGGATGACGAACAACTCGAGCAGATGATGATGGACGAAGAATACGGGCGGCGACAGCTAGAACTTGCAGCAATTGAGATAGAAAAGAAGAAGAAAAAGGAAGAACGAGAAGCCAAGAAGTTAGAGAAGGCGCGGTTAAAGGCTTTGGAGATATTGGCGGCGGAAAGGCAGAGGGATCCTAACGCGCCTGAGGGAACGGATGGTGAGGTGCCCAAAAAGAAGAAGCGCGGACGTCGTAGCAAGGCCGAGATACTTGCCGAGCAAATGCGCAGGGATGGCGCACCAAATCTGGGCATTACGCCGGGAGCAGGCATTGGCACGGATGGTATGTCGCACAATGTGAATCCCGGCACCTTATCTACAGGTCTAACACCGGAAATGGATAGGAGCGTCGAAGGAGGACACATGCCTCTTATGACGGGGCCAGATGGACATCTTTTTAATCCGGATGGTACGCCGATGAAGCCGAAGCGACGAGGTCGCGGCAAGGGTAAAAAGACTCTCGCGTTGGAAGCGGCTAGAGCTGCGGAAGCTGCAGCTAAGGCGGCGGCCGAAGCCGGCTTGATCGGTATGGGCACTGACTCAAACTCGGAGATGAAACAAAGCGATATACCAAATGTTCTTCCTACGCCAGGTAGCAGTACATCTGGCTCGGCACCTTCCACGCCGCCAGCGAGTGCCGTACCGACGCCGGGTCCTCCATCGACGCAACCATCGAACTCACAATCGGTTTATCCATCGCTACCACCCGGTCAACAGTCTTCCGTCATCACAAGAATGCTTCAATCCCAACCAGTATCTAGTAGTCCGCAATCTTTTACCGCGGCGGCAGCTGCGATGGGTCACAAGTATTTCGGTGGACCCAACGCCGGCGGACAAATGATGGGTGGTCCGCGGACGGGATACGAGATGCAGCCACGCGCCAGGATCCCGTCTCCTTATAGGCAAGCAGGTCAATCGTCTATGCCGCCGCATTTCGCTGCAGTCAGATCGGGCACACCACCGATGCGTATGCGAGTACCCGGACCGCAAATGTATCATACGCCTCACCATCCAATGGACCCGTCCCCATCGGGTGGCGGACCGATCTCCATTAGCAATAGGGATCGCAGTTCGCCTCTGACGCCCGGCGGACCGGCGATGATTCCACCATCAGCTGGTAGTCCACTGGCCAAAGGCGGCCCAACGCCGCCACCGCCACCTCCGCCATACGTGCGAGGCGGTCCACCGATGGCTAGGTTTGCCGAAAATCCTATGGGACCCAGGCATCAGATGCCACCGTTTACCAATGCCTCGCCTGTTAACCATAATATGCAGCAACCTTCACCGCCCCCCAATCGACCACCCGGTAATTTCTCACCGTATCATCCACCTCCACCTCCTAATTACCACTACGGTGCCTATCCGCCGCCTCCGCCAATGTCTACAGCGGATGATGCGGCTGCCTACCAGAGTTCGCCGTATCCTTCGGAGCATTTCTCTTCACCAGCAGACAACCAGCCGCCGATTCAGGGACCGCCTCAAGGACCGCCGCCGCAGCAATCACATCCGAATGACGAAGATCACGGAACCGGCGAATTTGGTGGTCTGGTATCTTACTTCAGTAGCCAGAGAGAGGATGATCTCGATTCGTAGCATGAGTGAGAGCTTGGCCAACCCTGAATCATTAAATAGAGAGAGCGTACCCAGGTAAGACCGCAACTTTTGCTGCAGAGGGAAAAGCGGTAACGCAGATAAAGCATAGTAAAACACGAACGATGCTTTGAATAATCTAACTTTTTCAGAATATTAGTGCGTGTGTGTCCGAAATAAAGCTGTAGAGTCTTCCTCTTCGACCTCTAAAGCAAACAGTTGTTTTGTAGTCTTTGCACTTCTTACGCCGCCAGAGGCAAATCTAAGGTTGGCCAAGTGTAGAGAGAGAGAGAGAGAGAGAGAGAGAGAGTGTAGGAA